GACAATGTTGTGTGTGTGTGACAATGTTGTGCGTGTGTGTGTGTGAAAGGGTTGTGTGTGTGTGTGTGACAATGTTGTGTCTGTGTGAAAGTGTTGCGTGTGACAATGTTGTGTGTGAAAGTGTTGTGCGTGGAAATCGTGCAAGACGTGTGTGTGTGTGTGACAAAGTTGTGTGTGTGTGAAAATGTCGTCTGTGAAGGAGTTGTGTGTGTGTGTCTGTGCGTGTGTGTGACAAAGTCGTGCGTGACAATGTTGTCTTTGAAGGAGTTGTGTGTGTGTGACAATGTTCTGCGTGTGTGTGTGTGTGGGTGTGTGAAAGAGTTGCGTGTGAAAATGTTGTGTGTGTGTGACAATGTTGTCTTTGAAGGAGTTGTGTGTGTGTGACAATGTTCTGCGTGTGTGTGTGTGTGGGTGTGTGAAAGAGTTGCGTGTGAAAATGTTGTGTGTGTGTGACAATGTTGTCTTTGAAGGAGTTGTGTGTGTGTGTGTGACAATGTTGTGCGTGTGTGTGTGTGTGAAAGAGTTGTGTGTGACAATGTTGTCTGTTGAGGAGTTGTGTGTGCGTGTGACAATGTTGTGCGTGTGTGTGTGTGTGAAAGAGTTGTGTGTGACAATGTTGTCTGTTGAGGAGTTCTGTGTGTGTGTGTGACAATGTTGTGCGTGTGTGTGTGTGAAAGAGTTTTATCCCACAGTGTGTGACAATGTTGTCTGTGGAGGAAGAGTTGTGTGTGTGTGACAATGTTGTGTGTGTGTGACAATGTGTGTGTGACAATGTGTGTGTGACAATGTGTGTGTGTGTGCGTGAAAGAGTTGTGTGTGTGTGTGACCAAGTTTTGTGTTTGAGTTGTGTAGTTGTGAAAGAGTTGTGTGCAAGAGTTGTGTGTGACAATCTTGTGTCAGTAAGAGTTGTGTGTGACTAAGTTGTGTGTGAAAGGGTTGGAACAACCAAAAAAAAAGAACCCCACACAAATATGTGGGGAAATAACGGATCAACCTCTTGCAAAACATGGTTTGATGTTGGTTGATCTTGGTTAACGTTGCCTGATATGCATTGATATGTATGATTTGTCTCACAACACTTCGGAATCTCTACAGTAGCCAGGCGAACATTTAACGTTCACCCCTCGCGCCTGCAGCGGAAGATTCTGAGAACATGGACGCCAGGGATGTGTTTTTCTCCCTGTGCCCAGAGCTGAGCTGTGAAGATTTACAACTGCCGATATACCAAGGCTGTGTACACCGCCTCCAGCAAGGTTGCCAACTTTAAGGTGGCAAACCATGCGGTCTGGGCGGGAAATGCGGGAAATGTGCACAGCCATGGGATGCTTCTTGACATATCTTGAAAGGTTAGGTAAATTCTGTCCTTAACCCAGGTGGACAGTTTGTCACTGTCCATGATGTGATTGTTCATGATCTTAGAGCCCTAGAACGGCTCTATGTACTTCACAACATCTGAGTTTCGTCGGCAGAATGGCAGGCATGAAATTGCTCTGCAGAATTTGATCATTTATTGGCTAAAACGCTAGCCAAACGCTCCATGCCATGAAGGCAAGCGTGCAAAGGCTTTCCGCTCATTGTAACTGCCGTGTCCCTCACATGGTTCCTTCCGATTTCGGCCAAACACGTAGCTAAATTGATGTCTACATGTGTATGTATATATATATATGTATATATATGTATGTATGTATGTATGTATGTATGTATGTATGTATGTATGTATGTATGTATGTATGTATGTATGTATGTATGTATGTATGTATGTATGTATGATGTATGTATGTATGTATGTATGTATGTATGTATGTATGTATGTATGTATGTATGTATGTATGTATGTATGTATGATGGATGGATGGATGGATGGATGTATGTCTGTATGTATGAACGTATGTACGTATGTACGTACGTACGTACGTATGTACCTATGTACCTATGTACCTATGCACCTATGTACCTATGTACCTATGTACCTATGTGTATCTATGTATCTATCCATCCATCCATTCATCCATCCATCTATGTATCTATGTATCTATGTATCTATGTATCTATGTATCTATGTATCTATGTATCTATGTATCTATCTATGTCCGTACGTACGTACGTACGTATATATATATATATAGCATGTAAGCGGGTTGGCATTGACATTAAATATTCTTGTTGGTTGCCTCTGATTGCAGAGTTGGTGTACGGAAAGCCTTGACTCTCCTGGGCATCCCTGAAGGAGGCGCAGGTAGGTGCAGTTCTACATGAATTTATTGCACCGTGCAACCCGGTTCAGGTTGGTGGATTGGTCATGAGCCATGTCGGCTGTGACAGCTCCACTGACACAGTGGTGACAATGAAAACAAAGTATAGGACAGCCATGCATGCTCCAAGTGTTTTTTGCAGCTTCCAGCCGCTAACCCTGATGCTGCAAACGGTCCCAAAAACCATGAATAGGAGGAGGCACGTATAGAACATCAAATACGGAGATTTGATGGTGACCCCCTCAAACTCCGAATTGTTGGCTTCAATCGCACACTTGATGAGCCACGGGACAGGAAGCCCGACCTGGCAATGGCAGCATTGGGCACTGGCTACTCCGTTTGTCTTTTCTGGTCACATGATCAAAACATATCGAAATAATGCACAACCCAAGGACCCATGGTGTGACAAATGATGCAAATAGAAAACATGGAAAACATTGTGTTGCGGCACGCGTGCACACAAAACCAAGTCGCCAAAATGTCGAAGATGTTGGAGCCAACTGACGAACTAACTGCCATATCAGCTTGTCCTGACAGTTGCGCGTGGTCAATCGCTTGGCATTCGCTTCGCATCGGTGACAGCGATATCAGCGGTATCCGTGCAACACTCTGCAGGGGGCCCAGTCCTTTTCGGGCAACTGCCATGGAGCTAACGGCATCTGGGATAGACGTCGCTGCTGCCAGGAACGTCACGCTCGACACGATTGTTGGGATCTGCGCCAAGGCAATAAGGGTGTGTTGCAGTGCGGATGCTGATACATGCTGATACCCTTCAGCTCAAGTTTCTCCTTCAGTTTGCGTTGTTCCTACAATGATCTGCCATGGTCTTATCAATCCTATCACCAGCTAGACTATGTTCTTGTTACACAACTTCAGAAGTTTAAATCTGGACTTGCAACAACCGAGGATATCTGGGGACGCTGCTCCAATCACTGTTGCAACCTTGGTTGCTGGTTGAGTGTAGTTTGTCTGGCTCAAAAAAGATTCAGAAAGTGGAGCACAACAGGGGCTGGAAATTCGGTCACATTCAAGATCATGCATGTTTGGCAATATCTCTCCATATATAATTATATATATATAATAGTGGGAAAATCCTAATTGAGTGTCACGCTGTGAAGCGTGAATCTGGAGCTGAATCTGAATAATCTGAATATCAGTTGCTCCACAGAATGCCGCCGGGAAGCTGTATCCGTCAACCACACGAGCAAGAAGGTCAAGCTGCCAATCCACAGCAATGACAAACCGAAGGTCACCAAAAAGAACTTAGAGCCTTTCGAAGGCCATGGCCTCAATTTTGAACAGCGGCTGACGCCCAGAATCCACCAGAATCCACTCACATCCACAGTCCAGAGATGTCCAGAGTTGTCCATGCTGAGTGTGGAGCAGGGTAAAATAGATCATGACATAGATTGGAAGGCTCAAAGCCCACAGAACTTGATTGAATCTGCCTGCGCATTGCGTACGGTGTGTACGATTGTGGTGACAGCAAGAGAATATGCACAATATGCTTCCTATAGCTTCGTATAGACCTTTGACCTTCGAAATAAACACCGCAGCCTTCTGGAATGATCATGAAGTCTTCGGGCTCATCATCATCGTCGTCTTCGTCATCGTCTTCTTGGTTCTCTTTTTCAGCGGCTGAGGCACCCTGCACAGCGACCGTTCCTAGCGCCCTAATATGTTTGAGACTCAGGGCTGGAAATGCAGCTACACTGCCTACACAGGCGTCTGGATGTGGTGACAAAATGGGGTGTCAAGGGCCACAAACTTGATTAAGCCACCGGCAAACCATCCAGTTCTAGAAGCAAATATGTACTCTACATGTGTGAGCGTGTGCATCTGCATCTGCATAGATTGTAATCTGGAGCTATACCCACTTCAGAGGTTGCAAACATCTTGGGCACCAGCCTTATCCGCATGGCCCGCTTCTTCATCAAGAGGCGGCTCCTCCAAAGGACAAAAATATTCAACATGATATGCTGTTTCAAATATTCAAATTGATACGCTTGAGACATGCATATATGACGGGTCATATACATACACACTGTGGGGAATCCTGTGGGAATATATACCCAGTCTCAAATGCACAAACTGCTCTACAAACATGTGCCACATGTTCCTGTTCGCGAGAGTGTGTGTGTGTGCGCGTGCGTGCGTGCGTGCGGTGTGTGTGTGCGCGCTGAATGGCTGTGTCTGCGCCTGAATCACAATCTTGTCGGGCTTGTCAACGGCTGCCTCTGCAGCTTCCTCTGCTGCTGCCTCTGCAGCTGCTGGCTCTGACGCTGCAGCTGACTCTGCAGCTACAGCTGCGGTCTCCCCCTCCTGAGTTCAAACTGATAGTTGACACTTCCTAGAAGCATTCCATGGCGGCTCGGATTTCAAGCAATGTGAGATGCACCTTGACATTCACATTTCTTCAATGTGGCTTAACACTGTGACAGGGCCGCTCAAAGCGTGGATAAACTGAGGCAGGGTCGAGATCCGGCGATCCCTCGCTGGCGCCGACCTGTTCCGGCTCCACCTTGGCCTTCGTCTTATTGACTTCCTCCACATAGTCCCGCAGCTCTTTGGGGAGTGGAGTGCCAGTCTTCTGATACCTTGGCCACAGCCACAGCTCGATTCTATGCACAACCTAAAATCTATTGTGGCGATTTATTGTGTGTACTGTATCGGCATCATGCTGGCATATGTGCATAGGCTGGTAAAAAATGAATGAAAAAACAAATAGGTAGTAGATAGATAGACAAACAGATACATAGATTTATTGATTGATAGACAGACAGACGGACAGACACACAGACAGATAGATAAGATAGATAAGATAGATAAGAGAGATAAGAGAGATAAGAGATATAAGAGAGATAAGATAGATAAGATAGATCAGATAGATCAGATAGATAAGATAGATAAGATAGATAAGATAGATAGGATAGATAGGATAGATAGGATAGATAGGATAGATAGGATAGATAGGATAGATAGGATAGATAGGATAGATAGGATAGTTAGGATAGATAGGATAGATAGGATAGATAGGATAGATAGGATAGATAGGATAGATAGGATAGATAGGATAGATAGGATAGATAGGATAGATAGGATAGATAGGATAGGATAGGATAGGATAGGATAGGATTAGATTAGATTAGATTAGATAGATAGATAAGATTAATTAGATAGATAAGATTAATTAGATAGATAAGATCAATTAGATAGATAAGATTAATTAGATAGATAAGATTAATTAGATAGATAAGATTAATTAGATAGATAAGATTAATTAGATAGATAAGATTAATTAGATAGATAAGATTAATTAGATAGATAAGATTAATTAGATAGATAAGATTAATTAGATTGATAAGATTAATTAGATAGATAAGATTAATTAGATAGATAGGTAGATAGATAGATAGATAGACAGATAGACAGATAGACAGATAGACAGATAGACAGATAGAAAGATAGACCGATAGATAGATAGAAAGATAGATCGATAGATCGATAGATAGATCGATAGATTAGATAGATAGATTAGATAGATAGATTAGATAGATAGATTAGACAGATAGATTGGATAGATTAGATAGATAGATTAGATAGATAGATTAGATTAGATTAGATTGGATTAGATTAGACTAGGTTAGATTAGATTAGATTAGATTAGGATAGATAGATAGATAGGTAGATAGATAGATAGATACATAGATAAGGTTAGATAAGGTTAGATAAGATTAGATAAGATTAGATAGATTAGATTAGATTAGATAAGAAAAGATAAGATAAGATAAGATAAGATAGATAAGATAAGATAGATAAGATAAGATAGATAAGATAAGATAAGATTAGATTAGATTAGTAAAGATTAGATTAGTAAAGATTAGATTAGACTAGCAAAGATTAGATTAGTAAAGATTAGACTAGTAATGATTAGATTAGTAATGATTAGATTAGTAATGATTAGATTAGTAATGATTAGATTAGTAATGATTAGATTAGTAATGATTAGATTAGTAATGATTAGATTAGTAATGATTAGATTAGTAATGATTAGATTAGATATGATTAGATTAGTAATGATTAGATTAGATATGATTAGAATAGATATGATTAGATTAGATATGATTAGATTAGATATGATTAGATTAGATTAGATTAGATTTAGATATGATTAGATTAGATTTAGATTTAGATTTAGATTTAGATTAGATTAGATTTAGATTAGATTTAGATTTAGATTAGATTTAGATTAGATTTAGATTGGATTTAGATTAGATTTAGATTAGATTTAGATTTAGATTTAGATTAGATTTAGATTAGATTTAGATTAGATTTAGATTTAGATTAGATTTAGATTAAATTTAGATTAGATTTAGATTTAGATTAGATTTAGATTAGATTTAGATTTAGATTAGGTTTAGATTTGATTTGATTTGATTTTGATTTTGATTTTGATTAGATTAGATTAGATAGATAGATAGACAGACAGACATACAGACATATAGATTGATTGGCTGATTGATAGATTGATAGATTTATAGATTTATAGATTGATGGATTGATTGATTGATAAACAGAATAGATTGATAAATAGATTGACACCTGGATGGATGGACGGACTGACGGATGGATGGATGGGTGGATGGATAGATTGATAGATAGCTAGATAGCTAGGTACGTAGATAGGTAGATAGGTAGATAGGTAGATAGGTAGATAGGTAGATAGGTAGATAGGTAGGTAGATAGATAGATAGACAGACAGATAGATAGATAGATAGACGGACAGATCGATAGATCGATAGATTGATAGATCGATAGATCGATAGATAGATAGACAGACACGCAGACAAACAGACAGACAGACAGACAGACAGATAGATAGATAGACAGATAGAATTATAGAATTATAGAATTGTGGAGTTATATAATCACAGGCATATATATATATATGTGTGCCCTGCGAACCGACAATTCAAAGAAATCTTTTCCACCGCCAAGCTGAGCCTTCACTGCTACAGGTGTGTTTCATCAACCTTTTGTGACCTTTTGAACTTGTCTCACAAATGCTAAGCCAGCAACGCCCACACGTTCAGTGGCTTATTCACGAACATGAAGCTGACATAGCCTGGATCATTGTGGACCCGTGAAATGCATCGAATGCCTCGCTTCAGCCTCCTACCTATTGTGCTCGAAGGCATGTGATAAAGCGCAGCACGCTCACAGTCTGACAGCCGAGGTCATGACCAATATACAAAGAGAAAAGGATGGCCGCCTATCACGCGGTCAACTGAATCAGCCATTCTCTCACACACGGATACGTGTATGTATACATGCAAATGTACATAGACATATTATATTATATTGTGAATCAACGATTTGTCTCCAGCCTCCCAGGCTTCAATCAGCTGATTGAATGTGAAGGCAGCCAAGACCGCTAGGGAACAAATGTAGTATGTACAGTCCTTAGCTTAGATCAAACGGATTCAAACAGTACATCTCACAACATTGCGATGCTCCGACCAGGCCCATATCCGATGCAGGAGAGACTTCATGCATTTCAGCGATATCGAGCACAATATAAGAACAGAGTTGCTGTCATTCTGAGCCAAGCTTCCCGAAAGAGTGGCCACCAGGTGAGTTCAATGTTTCCCTTTGCCACGTATCCACACCTGCCAAATGCTTTTGAATCTTGTGACTGGTATACAACACCTGACAGATCTATCCAGATCTGATAGCTACAAAGAACAGGCTACAAAGAGATTTCATGCCGAGCCGCAGCCCGATGACGAATAAGACGTTGAAGACTGCAGAACCCACGATCGTGCCAAAGCCAACGTCGTTCTGTGCCTTTTTGCGACACCCGTCCGCAGTCAGATTCGAGTGCTGAGGTATCATTTAAATCATTTGGCGCTTGATGACGAGTGCGACACTGAGAAATTACTCCACAAACTCTTGCAAAATGGTGCGAACAAGTGACAATAGTCGCTCCAACTATTGATGTAAAGAACTCAGGTGCAGATCCTCCTGCTGCCATCCATGTCGCCTGCAAAACGCAAAAAGAGCAACCAATACAACGCCAATGGATTCGCTGCAATTACATGCAATTACAACCAATTATAATTGTGCTTTGCGGATCTCTAAGGCTGAAGACTGAACAAAGTCACTGAATCTGTCCCATGTTGTTCCACACGGTTCAGGCATGTTCAGGCCAAGTCACCCCTGCCACATCTGGCGTCAAGTTCCAAGCATCACAAAGTAAGTCAATGGATCCAGCAAAGTAGACGTCGCAAACTGTGTTCAAACCCAGCACCAGGTAGGCCTGGGCAAGATGGGCAAGGGATGGCAGCAGATGGGCAGCCCGCAAAAACGTATTGTGTCTACTCAGTTTGAGTCTGTATGCAATACACTGGTCAAATCTGAGCTGGCGGCAATGCCAATGCAATGAAAAACTATGAGGAATTTTTTGCCTGGCGCCACTCGGAGCAATTGCTCATTCAGTGGTGGTTTTCACATCTGGAAACTTGCCTTCAAACCATCCAGACCATTTCTGCGCGGTCTAGAATGGTGAAACAAGCAATGCGAAGCGACATCTCCTGCCTGTCGGTTCTTTGTTGTATGGCTTGTCTAGAAGTAAATCGTCCCAGTAGAAATCTGGTGCCTGCCAAAGGCCAATGGCAATGAAGCATCCCGCCATTCCCAACCTGTGCTATCATGTCCTTAACACGCCACCTCAAGAGTTCTGGGAAAATATCATTGTCACTTGTTAAGTTGGGTGGTGTTGGGTGTAAATTTGATGGTTCCCGCCCATTCCCTGGCAGCCGTCTCTAAACATTCTAAATGCACAATACGTTGGGGCAGTATGCATAGTACAATTCGTACACTGAATCAAGCTGCTTCTGTTGTGGTCTCCACATCATCACTTTGGAGTCGGCGCGATCTATGGCCTTAGATGCATGGAAATTGCATGTCAGGGTTGAAGGGGGTTCTTCACAATGCAGCCTTCCAAAAGCATCCAAAAGCAACATCTTAACATGTCTTAGCCATTGAGCTATAACGTGCTATAAAAATGTTTATGAACTATCAGGTCGCATCATTGACTACCATCAGGACTGTTGGTCATCTCTCCAGCAACACATGTCAGGCAAGCTGCTATGGTCTCCAAAGTCCTCTCAGTAAGAAGCTGCAGCTTTGACTGTGGAAAGGTGGATAGCTAGTAAGTGGGCCGGTATGCATCCACACATGCAGGCTGCAAAGGGGTAATCTTAGCCTAGAAAAATGAAGTAAGGTAAGGTATGTTGAAGGTGAAGTAGGGTCAGGTATGGTCAGTCAGGTCGAAAAAGACTCCAATGTAATGTTCTGTTGTTTAATTTACGGATATTAAAGGTACAATGTGTATATCAATTGTACGTGTTTTTGCTCAAGTGTGTCATACTAAGCTGCTATGCCATGCTACTTGGCCATCTGTCCATGAGTGGTGTGTGTGTGTGTACTTGCCTGCATGTACACATGCATTGTCGCGTCATGTTGTGCCATGTCATTTGAGGAGCGTCAAAAGCTGCGTTGCAAAGCAACTTTCGCGGAACTTTCGGGGAACTTTCGTGGACCCAGTTTTGCTTTTGCAGCCACATCTTGCAGCTTTCCAGGCAGGTTTGCGACGGATACTACTACTCTACTCCCGCCAAACTGTCGCGCATGCAGGTGTTCCTTTCGCGGAAGGTTGTCTACATGAACCCTAATCTAAATTCTCTTCATGGAGGATTTTGGTGCTGTTCATTTCATCTGATCTCATTCCATGCCATGTCATCAGTGTCATGTCATGCCATGCGGTGCCGCACCATTCTATTCCATCTTCTATCGTTTCTTGCGAAATATACTTCTGAATCTACAAACGCAAACCCATTCGCATGACACAAATACTGTGTCGTTGCGAATGCACACCAGGCATAGATCAACACCTACAAATGCGCGCTCATATTTGTGCATTCGTATCACTCTATCTTCCCATCTATCTCTCTATCCATCCATCCATCCATCCATCCATCCATCCATCCATCCATCCATCTATCTATCTATCTATCTGTGTGAATGTGAATGATAAATGCAAATATGTATAGATATGTGTAGATATGTGCATATGCATAAATATTTAAAAAAAAATATATATGTGTGTGTGTTATATAATTATATTCTATATTATTCATATCTATATATATATACATATATATATATATACATGCGTAAATAAGTCAATAAGTAAGTGTGTGTGTGTGCGTGTGTGTGTGTGCGTGTGTGTGTGTGTGCATTTGCATGTAATGTGATGCGATGCGACCTGATGCAATGTGATGTGATATAATGAATGTGATTCAATGCGATGTGCTGTAATGTGATGTGATGCTATGTGATGTGATGTGATGCGATGTGATGCGATGTGATGTAGTAAGTGGAATGCAATGCATGCACATATAATGCCACAGCTGCAAGTCAATCGCATGGATTCAAAGACGCAAACATATATGTATATGCAGAGCTATGTGCCTACACGCACGCACCCACACACACACATACACACACACACATTATGCGTATACATGTGTAATATATATATATAAGTATATATACATGTACATATTACATACGATGGCCATCAAGGTTGTTTTCGCGGAACACTTTGCCACAGGCATCACAACCCTCTTTGAAGCAGGACTCGTGGACACAGTGTGGACACAAGAAGCCAAGGTCCTGTGCGAAGCACAGCAGTGCTAAGACTAATCCAACACCTCGGTAGCTGCGCGCCACAGCGGCTCCGTTTCAAATAACGCTTCTATTGTGTGTATCAAATCTGTTCCCAGTTTGAAGACCCATTACGACACCTGTATGTTTATATGATTGACGTATATATATATATATCTCTCTCTCATCTAAGGACAATAATGTATACTAGTTCAAAAGGCCAGTTCAGCAAGTCAGCAATGTGATCCAAATCACCGACAGCTGAGAGCAGTTCCTAGGGAGGAGAGGACTCTGATCTTCCTCCGTTGGAAGGGATCTAAGTGTCGTCGAAGGACCTCAAGGCATCTTTCCCGCTCTAGTTTGTCTGAGCTTCATTAAATTCATGACCAATCAATGTCTGAGACTTCATCGACGCTGCCAACTTTCAGCTGCAACTCTGCCAATACATGCAATACAGTTGAATCTGCCTTCTTGCTGAACCCAACCAAACCCATAGCGCGTCTTGTCCTTGTCCTCACGGCCGGTGCTGTTGGTATTTTATGATATTTTACGTCTTTTCATGTGCTGCCACATTGGCTCCTATTGGCTCATCCCAGTCCTGCAGTTGCCAGTTGCCACTGGCCTCAACTCGCGTCCCCGTGCTCCTGGCCGAAGCAGCCGAAGCATCCAAAGCTACGTCACCAAAAGTGCTTGAAAAAATGCTGGTGGGATGTTGGTCAAAACTCCCAGACCCTCTGAGCATCTCTGAGCAACAAATGGTTAACAATTTGTCTTCCCTGAGCATCGAGTTTGGGGGTGCAGTACATGATGACCAATCCCAGCACTTGAAATGCACCACAATCCACCAAAATAGGGTTGGAAAATGTTGGAAATTCCCCACTTCCAGCTGCCTCTGAAAAGGTGAAGCGGCTTCACGAAATTCGCCGCACACCCTCACCGGTTTGGAGCCAGGGATGGCTGCGGAGCAACAGAAATGGTGAGTCAACCAGTCTCCTCAGCCGTTGGCTGATAGACACAAATGATTGCAAATGTATAATCTACAGAGTCTACATGCATCTAAATGCACACGTATGTCAGATATGAATAGATTGAATAGATATGAATAGATATGATCAGATTATGTCACTGTCAGCATAATGGAGACAGAGAAGGGGAAACAAAATGTTCCGACTCTCCGGGTAATCCAGTAGTGCGACTCTCTTGTAGTGGCATCGCAGCCTCCAACCCCAGGGCTCTCTCCAACCAGTGCAGAATCCTCGTCTTCCTCAGCGGTCTGTGGTGCGCCACCGCACCAACATGAACGAAAGGATGGCTGAGGATCAGGCGATTGGCGGTGGAGCAAATCTGGACTCCCATGCAAACACTTCCTGTCAAGCTGTCAGGTGTTTGCAAATCACAAGATTGCCCTCAAACCCCATCCATCCCCATCCCATCAAATCCACACAACCTCAGGTGGAGCGTAGAGGTGCATCGCAGCAGCTTCCTGTCGCCATCCATTGCTCGCAGCATGTGCTGTAAACATGGACTGCTCCCGACTGCTACCTCGTCAAAGCTCGGCGCTGGAGCTTGTGAAGGCTTCTCCTTTTTTAGGAGTGGCCCTTTACCAGCTGCCAGGTTCTGCGGCGGGCGCACCGGTCACAAAATGGTCACAAAATGGTCACAAATGGTCACAAGTCGCCAAAAAAATGCCCAAAACCCCTGGCCTCAAGCTCCATTTCCATCTCCCGAGCCTGCAATGATCACCAAGTAGAATGGACAAGATCTGAGTCCAACTTGGTATGCGGCATCCACCTTCTTGGCGCGGGTTTGGATCACTGCAACTGGGTCGCGGCAACCTAACAGGTCTCTTGATGTCTCTTGCAGAGTTGACAAATGTTGACAGGCCTGTCATGCAAATGCCTTCTGCATGATGCCCTGCCTGACATGGTCCCAGCAGAGATCACTCGTCGTTGATCGAAAGCGCTCATTGAGCGAAGCGTCTGTACAGCCTTCACAGCGGACAGCTCTTCTTGTTTCCCAGCCGACGCTGGGGGTCACAGCAGCCGCACCTCATCACCTAACCACCGGTCGTTGGCCTTGATAAAGCCATCTAAGTCCTGCCAGTGCTTATCAATTGATCGAGCACCATCAAGCCGCAACCCAAGCCCACTCCGACTGGGCTTCACTCTCTGCATGAATGTCACCCAGAAAGAACCCATCAGAGAGCACGTAGAACCAGTTCGAGAGTTACCAAACATTTCTCTTGCTGTGCCAAGAGCATCGTCACTGTGACGATGCTTCACATCATGGAACCAAGAGAGAAAAAACACCAAGACGTTCGGAGCAACAAATACTATACACCAACAACGACCATTTCTCGGACAAATTTGTATGCCCGCAGCATGAGAGACCAAGAACAATGACGAAGAATTGGCGACAAGAATCTATCCGTTCACATTAATGCACAGCCATCTCGATGCCGGAGTGTCATAGACGCGTGCATACATATGCAGATTGTGCAGGTGCATTGATATCATATCTCTCTCTCTCTCTCCAGCGCTCTCCCAGGTCAAACTGCCAGAGGCAGAGGCAAGCAGCTGTCTGTTTCTGGTACCAACACATTTGATGTGATATCCGTGTAAATATATGTACGTATGATATAGTGATGATGTGTTGTGATTGAAGTATATTATTTAGTGCATTATACATTACGTCCACGTGATGACGTGCATAGACGTACATTTGCATGTATCTGTTGTAGCTCTCTCCAAGTTTAAGGTTATGTTTATTCATCTATCTCTCTCTGTCTCTCTCTTGCTATTTATCGATCTGATGTCTGTGTGTGTGTGCGTTGATTGTTTTAACAATTTCAATTGTACATCACACACGCCTTTGAGATTCAGATGGAACAAGGTGCAAGGTTGTGGGGGTGAACTCTCAGCTCAACTTCACCTCAACCCGCTCCTCTTCTGTTGCTGGCCTTACTGAGTGGTTCCACAGCCAACAAGGCATGGCTTGTGCACCATGTGGGCTTTCATGCGAAGCAAACTCAAGTAGCCCGTGTGTGAGACATCCCCAATATGCACCACCAAAATATTGCCTTCGAAATGAGCCATACAATCTACGGTTTTTTTTATCAAAATGGGTGAACAGGATCTCAATCCTCGAGCAACCAACTGGTGAACTGGATCCGACAACTGACCTGAGTCCATAGCTTGATCAGCTTGCTTTCCAGACCCAGTAGAACGGCCTTGGACACCAGGGAAGATTTTGTGACTCTGTGTCACGTCACGAGATCATGAATTTCTGAGATTTGTACAGGAACCTTTCCTCCACTTCTGCTTACAGCCGCCTAGGTTTTCAAGGATATTTAGCAAACCAGCTACTGTCCCGCTAGCGAAAACTACCTCATTGTCACAACGATGAAACTTTCCATCCGCCTCATACATAGATACTGGGCCCTTTCTATTGTGATTGTGGTTTACTTACCCATCTGTGGAAAATTCTTGCGTCCACGCGTCCACGTGTCCATGCATCCATCCACCCATCCACCCATCCATCCATCTGTCTATCCACCCGTCCATTCATCCATGAATCTACTTATGCGTTACAGCAGCAAGTGTCGATTGAAAGGCAATTCAATATTGTGTTTAAAAAAGTAGCCTTGGTATTGGCGGAAATGAAAATTAGAGAAAACAAAATGGAAATATGACGGAATCGTTAAAAGCAAGAGCAATGCAACATATTAAAAACAAAAAATAGAAATAAAACGATGACAAATCGGAAACGAAAGAGAGAAACAAGCAGAGAAGGCAGGAAATAAGCAAAACTCAAAGGATCCACGTATGTCTTTTGTCGTCGTAGCTTTTCTTTTCCTCTCTGGTCGATTCGTTGTTTTATCTGCTCCAAATTTCCAGTCAAAACGTGCAATAGATTCTTGAACCTATCTATCTGATTCTCGGATATTTTGTGTATACAAATGAATATATAAGTGAACAAGTGTATATATATATATATAAATAAATATATAGATATAGATATATATGCATGTGTGTGTTCACATGCGTTCCATATGATACAGTAAATCCGAAACAACGCCATCCCAAACCCAAAAGGCGCCTCTAGCTCCGTGGCTTTGCGCACACGAGCCTGCCAAGAGTCCCATGTCATGCAACTGCTTGGATTGAAGTTCAACCCCCTTAAAAATCTTAAAAATATGAATTGATTATGACTATCACAATTTACAATTCATTGGGGTCATCATCCCTGTCATGAAAAACACAGGGTAGAACACATTCAAAACCGACAGTCAGTCATTCAACATCGTTCAATGATATTGATATCTTGTGTCAATGACCAACGGAGTCATTGCATTGTCATAGTGCACTGCATCGTGGCATAAATCCAGGGGTAACATCGGGAAAAAATCGAAGCGACTCAGTGCCGCCTGGATGACTGCAACCGGATTCTGCACGCTGGACATGGTACCCCCGCTGATGACCTCAGGCGATGGCTGGGAGGCGGCTGGCAGCCATAGATCCGAGATCGAAGATTCTCCAGGATCGGCGCGCGTCGCTGATCAAGGCCGCTCATACCACGAAGAACCTGCAATGATCTGTGTCAATCTGCAATGATGGAGCTGGCTACAAGATATGACATGATTCTGACATGATATTACAAGTTCATCAAACTTTATCAAATGTTCATCAAACATAAGCCTTCTCAGCGTCATCAGGGATCCAGCGTCTGTTCTGCCCAAGAAAGGCCTTACAATTCAGTCATTGCCACTGCCACAGAAAGCCACTGCACGCCGCATTCTCTGCTCAGGTCTTTGCATCTAGTTCTTCTGCAGAAGCCGGCTTCACCTGCACAAATCACGATCACATGCCGTGACGGTCATGATGGCTCATGACGGCCATGTTTCAGCACGTTCTGAACCAACATAGATGAAATTAGATGAATTGTCTGGCCTCCACTTCCATGGTAAAGCTATTCTGCGCCGACCTCATTGAGCAAGTCAAGCCATAGCGGCTTGATATAGGCAATCAGTCTGCAGCTCTCCAGTCTGGCACAGGATGTGCAACATGTGCTGAGAGCTCTGCTACTCCCCTCGGATAGGTGAGCCATGAAAGTCCAGAGAATAGGCGCGTCTCCATGTCTGATTGGACAGGCGCTTGTGGCTGCTTGACTCTCGTGCACTGCTCCGCTGCCGGAGGGATGGTGCGATTTTTGTGATTTCCATGTGGGGTTCAATGCATTGGCGAAATGGCCCGACGGTACCTAATATGACCTAATAGATTGGCCGAGCCTTGTCAATCCTTGTCAATTGTCGTGTCTAGAAATGTCTGGGCAAAGCTGTGCCAAGCTGGCTTTCCATTTGAATCGTTTGAGCAGCGAACATCTTGCCAGCGAAATACGATGCTCTGCAAAGCCGCAACCAAAGCTGCCCCCACAGGTCCGATAGCAAAATGGGCATTGGCCAAGAAGGTTAGTTATATATATATATATTCCCTCAAACACAATGTCAAGAACAATTTGTTTGGGTGTTCAGCTGTTGATTTTGTTTCGGACTGAACCCAAAGGGTTTTTCTTTGGCACTTCTTCACTGCCTGATGTGGGTGGTAGGCTGGTATATATGTACAGACTTTTAGCGGCTCAGAAGCCAGAGTCAGTCTCTCAAGACAGCCTAGCAGGCAAGCCATTTTGTAGGAGTCTGGAGTTGACAAAAACTGGAAGCATCTGTGCCGAGTTTTGCGGTCGAGAAACCTGAAAGCAGACCTAAAGCACCTTGTAGTAGCGGAACAGCATGTGCAATACGTAGGAAACCAAAAGCGCTGCCTTAGAGAAGAAAAAGCAGGACTTCCCTGAATATCATTATACAGAACATTGCAGAAATTTTACCCGTGATACAAGTACTATGAGCTGAACTTCTTGCTTGCAAGGAACGAGAGCATATACAAAACCAAGTTTCAACATGCTATTGCTGGCCATACCTTGGTGCAACCGGCAGTCACGCGTAAGTTGGGACCTGGTGCCGACTGGTGCTGAGGATCATGCTTTTCAGCTTGTCTTCCAACATCAACGGGTCGAGCGACCACCTCAGTGCGTGGCTATCTGTGATGCCCAATTGGACTTCGATGTTCAGGCCAAGTAGCTCAAAGAAGAGCGGATATTTCGCCGGGACCCCAGTTGTAGCTGTCCATTCCTTCGTGCTTCACTGGCTGGAAAGGAGCTCAACAAAGAGACTGCAGAAATGACTGCAAATGACGGCACAAGATTTTAACACTTCGCCACAACCAACAGGAGGGATCTTGTTTTGAGTTTTTCTGCTAGCTGCTAGCTGAAGTGTTCGGTCCTGCACCGCCAGCTGATACATTGCCTCAGACAAGTTGTGCGCTGTCAACTTTCCCAGGAAGTAACCACAGCATACGGAAGGCTTTGGAGAGTCTATTGATTAAGATGCGCACAATATGCGTGTCATCCAACACCCGCAGGCCAGATCGCGCAAAGGGGTTGGCTGCATCAAAGCAAGAAAACCTTGACTGCCACTGACTGCCACGAAGCACAAGCACGGTTCTTAACAGCATCGAAACCGCACAGTACTGAACCACACACACACACACACTCCAATTGCGATTGTAACATAGTGTAACAGCCGAGCGGCGGAGTTCCAGTTGTGCCGCAACAGTTCGTACCAACTGCCCAGAAGTCAAGAGTCCCTGACGAGTGACCAAACCATACACAAGCTTGGTGTGGATTGAAAAAGTTCGGAAGCAGGAACCACAAATCTACACAACTTTGTTCCAGTCTCAGGCAAAGCACCACTCGTTGGAATCAGGAAGCCTGCGAGTCAAAAGTCGCTCTGGTCAATTCAACCACGCAAACCCAAGAGGCGCATCAAGCTTTGCCCCATGGCCTGCTGCTGTTTTTCTGGAGTCTGAAGCATTGCCAGCGGAAGCCGCTTCTAAGGGGTCCAGAATCACTGGAGCAATACCTTAGCATTTCCGCGGCCATGGGCACTGCACAGAACTGTCCCAGGTCCGGTCCCAAGCTCCCGCACAGTACGTCAAGCCATTGCGAAACGCGATAGCCTTCGTTCTGTCTACACTCACACGATCCTGGCAGGACTCATGCATGCTCAGAAGATCAGAGGAGTTTCATGCTGCATTTCTTAACAAGTCATCACGTCATCCTGTTACAGTTCAAACCTGCGTGATCTTGCATGCTGATGCCTTGAAGTAGATCGCCCCAGCATCCATGAAAGAACTCCCTTTGTCACGAGAAGGATCAACATTGACCTCTCCGTGAGGTGTGGCAGCGTATGACAGCGTGACAGACCAATGCTCTCAGCTGCTCTCATGGCTTTCATGGCTTCCAGTTGTGCCGCTCGGGTGTGGACATAGCTGGCCATCTGGTGATACTCTTGGTACTTGCCAACACCCAGCCACCAGTAGTTGTTGCCTAGAACCTCAGGAGAAGTTGCACCCTGCAGCTCAAACATCCGACCTGGAACCTCAGAACAAACAAAATCAAATGAATAAAGAAGGAAAGAATATCATGATTATCATATCCATATATCATGTTTATCATATCTATATGCATGTATGTGTGTGTGCTATATATATACATATATATATATATGTGTGTGTGTGTGCGTGCGCACCATCTGTATAGATGTAAAACTTCATTTTACTGCAGGGGCGTGTGGCGCTCACGTCCTACCACGCGCAATGAAGCTGTGGACATGAGTGGGAAGGGAAACGTGGCCAGTTTCCTGTACCTGCAGCTTTATGGATATAATTGGATATATATAATATTATATATATACCGCCCCTGGGCGCATTTAAGTCGCAGCTGGGGGGGACATATATTTTATCGCTGTTGGTTTATATGGTCAACGTCTACTGTGATTATACGTCTATATATTTTTATGTATATATTCATCTTGTCAATTAATTGTTGGTGTTTTTGCACGTCTCATGCATTCCACAACCAAATTCGCAATGACAGTTCTGAGCAAGTGTGTGATTCATGCAAGATTTGTCATGGTGGCATGAACCCCTCGAGGAACACCTTTCCAGGTAGGAATGCAAATCCTCGACTTGATCGCTGAATTTACATTTTTCAACCTAATAATCTCAGCTATTTTTCAACCTCTCACCCGTCGGTCGTTGTTTGACAGCTTGCCGCGGTGCCTGGCTCTCACCTTTTCTTTGACTGACATTTGTTTGCATAGCTGGAAGCCGCGCCAACACTTCCTTTTTTCAGTGATGCTCAAGAGACAGATCCCATGTCACATGCATGCTTCATGAGAGGAAAGGCACAGGGCATGCTTTCCAGGTATGGTCACTTTCTTTTGGTTACTATGTGCACGTAATTCGAAGGTTGACGACGTAAGCTGTCCATGGGCTGATCTGACTACCGAGGGCCTTGAGCCTTATCACGAATCTTGCATGATGTGTGAATGCATCTCTTCATTAACTAATCCCCCATGGGTCCTCTATTTCATGTGTTCTTTCCCCTCTTCAGGTAGGTTGGGTCCTGCGCGTGCTGAGATAGGCTTAGGTTTCGCCGTGGTAGGTTGGTTCAGGCGCTTCCGTCCTCCCCCCTCCTCCGCTGGTCTGGTTCCGTTTCCGTCGGCCTCCGGTTTTTCTTTCCTTGCCCTTTCAGGGTTCGCCCGTTCTGGGCCAGGTGTGTTTGTGTTGGTGTTTGCTCTTTCCCTCTTCTCTTGCGCTCCCCTCTTCGCATCCTGGCTCAGCAATTTTCATCCCATTTTCATGCTCATCTCACTTTCATTGTCATTTCATCTGCCCCGCTGTTGCGGGGAGTGTGTGTGTGTGTACCATCTGTATAGATGTAAAACTTCATTTTTCATTTTACTGCAGGGGCGTGTGGCACTCATGTCCTACCACACGCAATGAAGCTGTGGACATGAGCGAAACGGGAAACGTGGCCGGTTTCCTGTACCTGCAGCTTTATGGAGATGGATATATATATATATATGCGTGTGTGTACATATTTATATATATATATACCGCCCCTGGGCGCATTTAAGTCGCAGCTGGGGGGGACATACATTTTATCGCTGTTGGTTTATATGGTCAACGTCTACTGTGATTATACGTCTATATATTTTTATGTATATATGCATCTTGTCAATTAATTGTTGGTGTTTTTGCACGTCTCATGCATTCCACAACCAAATTCGCAATGACAGTTCTGAGCAAGTGTGTGTGTGTGTGATTACATGTGATTCCGTAAGTAAACCAAACACAGAGTAAACAGTGACATTGTGTGCTTCGAGACTTGCTGGCAAAGTTGCGAGACCAACAACTAGGCCGGCCTGAGCACACCCACTACGACGCTTACAGCTCACTTGGCATCTGCACACTGTGACCGGCCATTTCCTTTCTGTAAGCTTCTGATTCCAAGGTGGTTGCTTGTTGGGGAGTATATACTTATCAGATCTTATGTCCCATACCCACCCTTGACTCTTGCAGCAAAGCTGTGGGGGCTTTTGACTTCCCAAGTGAAAAGGATCCGAGAAAGTTTCGTGAAGCCAAACCGAGGCAGCCGGGAATTCAACCAGTTCAAGTGGGAAGTAGAAAAAATGCGAAGAAAAATGATGGGCACGAAAGCCAACTGTGGGTTGACGAAGGCTCACATCAGGCCAAACATCTGAGCCCAATCCCAGTCAATTGAACCTTTCGGCAAAGCGACCCAAAGGCACAAAGCGAGCACTAACCAAGTTCTTGCCGTTCTCTGCATGCGATATCTGACCTTTGTTTCGGAAGCTGAGCTCGCAGGGACTCAACACCTCTGCAGATTGACCTCTCAGATTGACAGATCTCCAAGGATGTAAAAACAAGGTTGTGATTGCAACGCGGGGATGGTACAAGCCACAGGCATCAGTCCATTTAGAAAAGCGTCTACGCCAATGTAGTTCGCAAGCATTGCCATAATAGCCTGACCGCAGGAAGCCATCACGGTCAAGTGACGGCATTTCAAGACCCCAATTGCACCAATGGTCTTGGGACCGCACCAGTGCCCCCACAATCAACCTGGAGCAGCGGAGATGCCATAAGAATGCTGCCATTGCAAATGCGCCAAACGAAAACATGAAACAAAGAACCCACAGCCTGCGAAGCACAACCTGCATCAACCTCTTCAAAACGGGCAAATGCTGTACAGATTGTACAGATTTCAACGCAGCCAAGCAACGTGGCTACAGCAGGGGATGACACTCGAATCAGGCAACTCATCGACCAGAATGTCAAAATAAAAGCCTGGCATTTCACACGCGGCAACCTCGCTTTTCATTCGCTTAGGTGACTCTCTAGACATCTCGACCTACTGCTGATTAAGCTACTACCCATGAGAACCGGAAAATGGTTTCCATCTTAGCTCAAGTCAAACATATAACTATATCACATAACTTTAACAGACTTGACATACACCGATCAAAAGCTGTGAACAGGACGTCACCGGATCACACCGCACCAGCGTGGAGATAACAGCGCCGCCGATAACTTCGACTGGTCCCAGCGCCTGGCTGAGTTCGAAGTTGCTTTCAATATGGATCATTGATGATCAATATGGTGAGTTTTCAGGGCACTTGATGCTTTGTTTATCTTTTTCAGGTCGGTGAGTTGTCTCGATTCAACCAAATGAATGGAAACTTCCAGGGGTCCAGTTTGATTATGTTTGATGTGTTTGATTATTCAAAGAAAAACATATGAAGAAAATAGGTGTGAGTTCTACCAAGTTATGCAAAGGTTCATGAGGATCTAATGAACAGTTATATAAGTTATATACCATACATCTCCACAAACAATAAAGTATAAATTCAATGGATTGAAACCTTCGTTTATTCAAGAGCCGGGTTTCAATGCACAACATGCCCACAGGTTCAACAAATGTGCATTCATGGTAAGAACATGTGGCGTTTCGGCATTTCTTTTACGAGGGGCAGTTTTCTGCAGGAAGGTGAAAGCATCAGAAAAGAATATGCAATCGTTTCATAGGAAGTAGCACCACATCATTTTCTTGCGCATTCCCCGTACCCCACCGATGTTTAGACCAAGTTTCACGACAAAATTGTCACAACAAAGGGAAATCTATCTGACACAAGGAGTGCAGCCGATTTTTTTCAACGACGCAGATTTCTTTTATGCGTCGGAAGGTGGATGACAAAAAGGTTGCACTTTTTGTTTCAATGCAGCCTGCATGGGCTTCAGCTACCTAAACTGTTGTGTTTGACGATGCACTTTTCAAAGACTTTGCAGGGAGTGCAAATCCACTCCTTTCATGATCAAAGGAAAGTACTACTTAGGTTTTCTTCCAGGACTTCTTGCATTTTCTCAAATAAAATGAATGCAGGAATGGGTTGCTTTCTGGATTATATTGAAGGAATTCATTTTCTAGTATTGAAAGTTGTGGTGTCACAATGAACCGGGTGTCAGCTTTGCCCGAGCGTGTGCCATTTTCAAAGAACCAGGTGATGATGTGTCGTTGGTTGCTCCCGTTGTTGCGTTTGTTTATATACAGTATATACTTATATATGTATGAAGAAATACGGCCATGTGGACATCGCCCTCCCAGAATCTCACAGGACAGACTGTGTCAGCACTGTTTGTCGAAACCGTGCACGCTTCCACAGCTTCTTTTAAAGAATTGCAGCTATGGAAAACTGCGAGAAAGGTAAATCGGACAATTCGTCTGTGGGTTCGGTGACACTATCAACTGGAGACTCCAGGGGCAGACTTGAGGCCGCGAGGGACAAAAGCTGCTAGCTGGACGGACATGTCAGTGGAGCTCATGCTAAGCAACGGAGCAGCCAAAAAAAAAATGCAAAGCTGATGGTCATGAGGGAGAAAGCAATGATTCATTGACCTTTTTACTAAGTGATTGACTGATTGAGCCGATCATCCATTCAATTATTATTAGTTATTATTGATGATGATGATGATGATGATGATGAGGATGATGATGATGATGATGATGATGATGAGGAGGAGACGTTGGAAAAAAATTATCCAACTACAATGCAAGATGAAGAAACATGGTCGCCCAAAGGCGAGACCACGAGAAAAATCAGAGCAGAAACATAGTGGGCCGGTAGTAGGCACGACCCAGGGAATCAGCACGTGCTTGGCGGTTCCTGCCCGCAATCAACCTTGCTGAGGAAAGAGCAGCTTCAGCTAGCAGAAGATGGCTTTCGTGCGTCACGCACGAAAGCTACCCTCTGCTAGTGGGATGTTTCCACAAAGATTTCCAACGTGACAGGGCAAAAGAAGAACAAGGCAAAACAACCAAAGCTGTGAGCTGGAAGTGCGATGCGAAAGGTTTTGATGAAAGAGTCTGAATCAGAGTGGAGTTATTTTGATTGATTTGGAATAATAAGCTGGAAAAGGTGTTTTCCAACTATATAGTCCAAAGGTAAGAGTCCTTGTGGATTCGTTGGTTATTGGTGTGTGTTTCTTTCTGGGAGGGGCCTTAGCCTTTCAGAATTTCACTAGCGTGTCAAACACACGTTGACTATCTCAAGTGTACCATGTTGTATGTTATCTCGTGAATCCAGACTTCTCCGGATTCTTGATTGATACTCCTGGAAAGTCCTTCCCCAAGATTAAGAAATCCACAGCTTCCAAAACCCATTCCCAACCATGTGCCGATTTTCCCGTCACCTGCTTTGACTGTTTGCGCAGGAGGAAGTTGGTTTCCGCCCTGAGCTTCATGATGGATATGAAAAATTCCTTAGCTGACTCGCGCCAATCACATGGAGGAAGCGAACGAAGCGTCCAACTGGCCACAAAATATAAAACTATTAAAAATTAAAAACTGGTAGATTGTCAAGTCAAGAGTCGCTCCCTGGCTAAGAGTAGCGTCCAACCGCCATGTGTGAGCCAAATGGCTACAGCTGGCAACAAATCAGCATAGCCAAAATTGGCCAAATTGAAGAAACATATCGTTCTGCCTGTGCTAAGCATTTCATGCCAAGTTGGAGTCTCCCTTTTTCATGGCAGTTTGAAACTGCGTCGAATTGCACTTTGGTCTATCAGTAGGCAAAAACTTTGTGCGCCTTGCAGCCTCTTTAAAGTGTTCACCAGTTGGAAGCAGCGGACTCTTTATAATTGCACATGTGTGTCATATGTCATCTACTAATCATAATATGCAGACCCAGGTGCGTGTGACTGTGTGTGTATACATGATGTATCACAACGTATCTGTTCTATCTTGCTTTTGCGTGTAGGTCTTCTCTGCAAAGCGTGTGTACCCTGCATGTGGCGGCTCGGGGGCACACGGCAGGGTTGTATTCATTGGACCCGTGAGTGCCTCACTGCCGCGGACATTTCGTGGCCTTGAGGTGTCAAGCTGTGGGCCAGCTTGCATTTACATAGTGATCCATCGTTGCCTGACCAAGGTTGGGTGTTACCATCATTGAGGGGATCTATTCAGCAGTGGAGCTGCTAAAAAGTGCTGAAAGCTCGGCCCCCAACTTGACTGCGAAAAGGGTGTGTGGAGGCTGCAAGCAATTCACATTCCAGTCTCTGAAGGAAAATACACCGGTTGCCGGTCTCTGCTCTAGGGAAACTCACTGGCAGTCTGCAGGAGTCTTGAAACACAGACTAAAACGAAAGCATCATGTCTCTCTTCTGAGCCTCTTTCTTTCTGCTGACTACCTTCCAGAAAAACGGCAAAAACCATGAGGCACGCAGTACAAGCCTTCGTGTCTGCGCTCTTCCACATATCAGGCTTGCTTGGCATAGGCTTCCAGATCCATTCTCATGCGTTCCAAACGTTACTTGCGCTCGGCGCCCCTGAAGTCCACCCTCGTTTGTCTAAGCAAAGCTGACATGCACGAAAGTGAGATCGTCCGCGCATTTGCAGAACTGCTTAATTACACTGAATCTGAATCAAGCCGTTTGGCAGCTTTCCTCGACATATCAAAGCCATTAGATTAAATGACCTGAATATGCATTGACGTAGTAAACTTCTAGTAAACTTGTAGTAAACATGTCGGTAGGATTGGGGAGAGACATTCTTTCTCTCCTTTGGTAACCACATGGAGCAAAGAGAGAAGCAGTCTGCTGCTTAGAAGGTGAGACGTTTCTGAGCTTTGGGCGGAGACATCCCCCCACGAAAGGTCTAAGCGCCCTAGCGCTATAGAGACACCAAACGCTTCACGAACCCGTTGTGACAACTTGTCACTTGCGTGTGAAAACTGGCTGCCAAGAAAAGACTAGGATTCACATGGACTTATTACATCTTACATGATACCTGGGATGCTCTGTCTTGGTCCATGGCCAGGCCTTGGCAAGAAATTGGTTTTGTCATGTCTTGTCTCTATAGCTCTTGTTTTGCACAGCGTTAGCTGACACTCTGGTCGTATTCGCTGCCGTTGCGACTGATTTTCAGCATGCCACACTATCCTCTTGGATCGTGGCAGCATTTCCAGCCTGGTCCATACTGCGACTGCAACGCATCAAACTGATCCAGCTGATCCAACTGATCCAACTTTCTATGGAGGCCGTGCTCCAAAGTGATCCTCCAGCGATGGCTGGGGTGCCGAGGGCGGCTTCAATGAAGATGTAGGCACTTTGGAAAGTGCAGCCTCCTGGGCAAATGGCACAGGGTGTGAACTGAGAAGGTGGTTGGTCATTTTCAGCCTGATGCAAAGGGAAGTACAACCTGTAGCCTCAGGTGAACTGCCACAACTGGACAGCTTTGGATGGCGTCTGGCTGCCATTCCCACCATTATCAACACGTTTGTATAGTTGCAACAGGCTGCTGATGCTGCTGTTGCCACACTGCAGCTGGAAAACAATATATGCTAGTACTGCGGCTTGGTGTCTTTGTAGATTCTTTCGATCTTCTTTGTCTGGGAGCTGACCTGGGAGAATGTCAAGATTCAACATGTCTCACAGGCTGGAAAAGTTTTCCCGTGAACCCTGCGACCAGAATGTGAAATATGACGCGGCATGACATGGCATGACACTACACTACACTTAACTGCATTTCACTGATAGATACATGCATCTCCTTGATTTCACTTGCTACAAACCTCCAATCTTCTTGATGTTTATGGGGTCAAGACTATCCATGAAGATCATGAAGTCGAATGAAGCTGCAAACTTTGGGTGCAAGCTTCTGCTGAACGTCTTTCTCCCATAGCCCTTGTCAGCAAAAACTAAGCCAGCTGCGAATCGCCTCAAATCGACAATATCTTTAACCTCACCACGCAATCCACACATGCCGACTCGAATAAAGCATTGAATCGAGCTTCAGCTTCAAATCAAATATGAATTATGAATGAGCAAAAGCCTCGAACAAACACCTCAACCAAAGATTCCTGGAAAAGCGCTTCCTGTTTTCCGAAGCCAAAGCTTGCCCCTGGTCCAAAGTCACATATCTGAGGAGGCAACCGTCGCAGCATTGTCTCCTCTCAAGTCCAGGACAATGCCCATGAACTCTTCAAACGTCAGATCCTGCAAAACGAAGCGAAAAGGTGAGGAATGATGACCGCTCCCTCCCGCATCCCATGCCTACCAGCTAGGCCGCTCTCCCTGATCCAGTTTCAACACGTTTCAACTACCCTTGCGGCACCTCATTCTGCTCAAATATGAAGTCCATGAGGTCGACGAGTGCAAGAAGCTTAGATCGAGAGGGAGAGAGAGAGAGAGAGATGACAGGAATGATGCGTGAGATCTATTGATGTCTATGGTTTGTGGTTTCCAACTCAGATCCTCTGCAAGTTTCTGCTTGTGCCCACTGGTCACTGCACAAGTCGAGTCAAATCATTTACTTTGCATCAGTCAAGCCACATCGACGCCCACATCGTGAAGCGTTGCGACAGCCTTCTTGTTGCCCAGAAGCATCTCCAGCTCTTGTCGATCTCAGGCAGAACACGCGCTCGGAAGAGGGAACAGATTGGAAAAGCAGCCGGGATAACGTATATGCATTTGCATGTATGTATGTATGTATGCATGCATGCATGCACGCATGCACGGATGTATGTATGTATGTATGGATGGATGCATGCACGCATCCATGCATGCATGTGTGTATGTGTGTATGTGTGTATGTGCGTATGTGTGTGTGGATGTATGCATGCATGCATGCATGCATGCATGTATGCATGTATGCATGTATGCATGTATGCATGCATGGCATGCATGCATGCATGGATGCATGGATGCATGGATGCATGTATGCATGTATGCATGTCTGCATGTCTGCATGTCTGCATGTCTGCATGTCTGCATGTCTGCATGTCTGCATGTCTGCATGTCTGCATGCCTGCATGCCTGCATGCCTGCATGTCTGCATGTCTGCATGTCTGCATGTCTGCATGTCTGCATGTCTGCATGTCTGCATGTCTGCATGTCTGCATGTCTGCATGTATGCATGTATGCAAGTATGCATGCATGCATGTATGTATGTATGCATGTATGCATGTATGCAAGTATGCATGCCTGCATGCATGCATGCATGCATGCATGTATGCATGTATGTATATATACATATATATATATCTAT